CGGGAAGAGCAACGCTCCAACCACTTTAGGCAGGCTTCATGGGTCTTCGTCTTAGAAGTTTTCTGAATTCCGAAAAGCCGTCGATCGGCTGGCCGACAACGCGGCAGATCGGCTAACCGACTGACAGATTCGCGGACGACCAGAACAGACGTATGGTGAACGATGCGCCTGGGGCTCCTGCATCGCGTCCTCGCGCTTGAGCTCATCAGCTTTTAGGGAATTGTGCTATGATCGTCGACCTATCACGTAGACCAGACTCACGTAATCGCCGATTCTTTTGGCGCTGTTTCAACAACGACCAGCTCGTACAATAAATAGTGGATTCCTCTGCCTGTCAGGCAACGTTTGACTAGCGCGGGGGGAGTCCGAGGCCCTCAGGGGATTGGACGGGGGATTTCCGAGGGGCGAATCGGACGGATCGACGAAAGGCCGAAAACCGACGGACGGACGGACGGCCGAACGAGAGAACCTGTACAGGTCCCCTCTGGCGCGCATGATCTACGTCGGGGAGGGCGTCACGAGGAGACAGGGGGAATCCTAAGCATGAAACAGCTAAGAGAGGAGAGAATCGCGCTCGATATCCTAAAAGGCGTCGTGGAGAACCTATGATACAGCAGACTCCTATTGCCGAGGCATTCAAGATTGATTGGCCGCAGCTCGTCCTATTCGCGTACCGGATAAATAAAATATTCGAGTAACAAGATACCCACGATCAAATTTCATCACGCTCGTCACCGGGCGTCTCTCACGATCAAACCATTCGATGCATTGGCGATTCGAAACGCGTGAAATTTCAGAATATTTCTGCCCGGGATTTCTCCCTTTTTGTCACAGAGCAGCCCCGAGGGATACGGGTACTGTTGACAGGGGAATCTCAACACACGCTGCTAATTAACCCGACTCTCCTCTCTTTGATTAGCGCACCCGCGCACCCCCGAGAGCCTTGTGCCCGCATTTCCGAAGAAGAGCATCCTCAGAGAGGATTACCCAAGACCAAAATGGCTCGACGGATCTCGGAACTGAAGGTTGATTCGGACAGCGGATGGTCGATTGCTCAGCGCGTCAGACATTTGCAGTGCGAACCGAACCTCTCGCCTCGTGACGCTGTCTACGGCGAACGCCGACATCCCTTCCGTGTGCGTGCTTCCGACCGAGATTCATATCGGCGACAGTGCAGATTTCCGAGGAATGGAGGAACCCCTTCCAATTCCGGGTAAGCTCATCATCGATATTCCCAGCGAAACATTTCTCCGCAGGACAAGTCCTGGTCATGTCCGCATTTCGAGTCCATGAATTTATAAATATGCTCTGAAGCCTCTCTGGCAAATGCTTCGGTTTTCGAATTTCCAACACACGATCGGGTTGAGGCACTGACGCCGTATGGATAGAGCGAAAGGTGAGGGAAACCTTGTCCACCATGGACTTCGAGCATTAAATGAGCCGCAGAATCGGCAAGCAACCAGCGAGCCGAACGAGCAGGACCGAGCCAGCCGGCCGGCTGACCAGCAGGTTGCACTACCCTCGGGCAAACACTGATCTGCTATTCAGCGCATCATTAGGACATATCACGATTAGCATACGCAATCTAGTCGCTGCTACAATCACCAGCCCTTGGCAATTCTTCATTATCTTGCTCGTTGTTGTATCACCGTGGTCCTGATCCTCGGATTCATCGTCTCGAGCTCCAGTGAAGTTGTAGCGATAAGCAATTACTTCGGAACACTGAGGTTTCAAAGGGACGAGGGGATTGTCGCTCCGTCCCGCCCATCCATCTACTCCATTGGCTGCGTACGGAAAAAACGGGGTAGTGAACGAAGGATTCGGTTGCATAATGATACGGTGGGAGTCGTTTCTTGAGTGAGCGAATCAACAGAAAAGGCGGCCTGGCGGCGGGTACGACTCGTTTGTTGTGGCGTGAATATAAGACGTCGTCGGCGAATCTCCTAGACAGGGGGAGTCAGCTCTCCATGGGAGTTGCTTCCTGTCGCTTGCCGAAGATTGTTGGGAAAACATCCTGCAGGCTCATATAGAGAATATTCCCTGATGAATTTTCGAGGTCAAAGTCGCAGACTCTAAACACACACATGGTGGCGCTGTGTTGCGCTGCGAGGTCGTTTGCAGCTGGCGTGAGAAAATGAGAGACGGGGGGCTTGGCGGATGCATCAAAAATCTCGCCGATCTTCCTCAGGAACTACTATTTTCTCCATTCGCGAGAAAGGGGGGGGGTATATCGGGGTCGGGGGTTATGCGTCGTGGGAGACGAGGGGGCTCGGGATAGCACAGAAGCGGAGCGCTCAGGGCAACGGAACAGCTAGAAAATGAGAGGCGGGCATCTCCGACTGCGGGCAACGGGTATCGGTAGCGGAAAATTAGCATTTTATTCACGAGAAGCAACTTTGATGAAGAAGAGAACGGCGAACTGCTCTCGGAGACGACGTCAGAGAGCAAACTAGACCGGAGCTTAGAGCAGCAGAGGCATCAAACAGGGTCTGTTTGCCCAATGCCGAAGGGTGGTTAGAATTCTAGAGCGTCCCGGGACTCCGGCTCCGTGGCTGGCTGAGAAGTCTATCGCTCGGAGTTTCCGCAACCGGCGGCGGCGACAAGTCCTGCTCCGAGGAAAGAGGAGACATATGGGGGGGAGGGACGCCTAATTGACGCTGTTTGTCTTTCGGGAAGCTCTGCGTGATTGGTGGAAGGCACTCACCAACGGACGGACGGACGGACGCACCTACTAGTCCGGCACCAGGTAGGTAGGAGAGTCTGCTAGTCTAGTCCGTCAGGAGACAGCAGGGCGCTCGCAAAAACAGCGTTGGCTTAGTTCTTGCTGCTTGAAAGCAGTGGTCCCTCTCCGCCTCGCGCAACTCGTTAAGCCCCAGTGTCGAAAGCTGCACGCTAAGAGTAGCAACGAACGACGAACTGCTGCGATGTGACGGTAGAAACGGTGAACTTAAGTCCGGCACGTCCGAAATTAGTGAGACCAGAGCAGCTGCTGAGGACCTCAAGTACCGAGCAAGCGTCGGTCACTCAAGCCACCAGACAAATCTTCTACACGACGACGGCAGGCTCACAAGTCTAGAACGCGCACGGCAGTAGCCAGGTACCTGATGAGTAGGGCTCGACTTCCGTCGCGGTATCCCATTCAAAAAATCGCGGCGGAGTCGCGGCCCATTCTTCGGAAAATCGCGGCGCAACGAATTCTCGTCGCGGTTCCGGGAGGATGGAACGATACTGAAATTTGATGAGTGATTCGCCGCTCGAAAAAGTTTCCTACGCGAAACGCTGTATCGAGGAACTTGTGATCGCGTCATTTTATTACTAGAGTAGACGATTACAGTTTTAGCACAACGAGGTTACTGCCTGTGGCACAGCTTCAAGGCACTTCCAATGAGGACACGGGGAATTCACCAGAAATGACTCTAAGTCTGCACGCACTTGAGGGAATGGGTTAGATAGCGGGGCGTGACCCAGGCCTATCTTTTCGCAAACCGGAATCAAGGATTTGAACCCTGAGTCCTGAGAAATATCGGGGAACGCTGAGCGTGATCAGGCGCTACCGATATCGAGATTGCTACTGACGTCTGACGTCACAGTTCCGGCCACTGACAGCGCCACTGACAGTCAGCTGTTGGAGAGACTGTCGCGCCCTCCGTGGCCAGACAGCTGTTCCGAGAAGAGTTCGCTATTGATACGCGCCGCCGCTGACGGCGCGAATCCCCAAGTGCGCTACCGACTCTGAGTCTTATTTATTTATCTCTGATTGAGATGATTTAACTTAGGAAATAACGAACGACATAAGAATAATGAATATGGAATATACACATGGGAAGGAAGGAGAGGAACCCCTTAGATTAACTGTATAGTAAGATTACCCATGGTGATTACCTGGCCTCTCTCAGGGAGTGTGTGTTGGGATGTGTGATGTGATTGGAATAGAGTGTAATATGGTCGGAATAGTGTGGTGGGAGTTATAAGTGGTTGATGATGACGCAACGGACCTGGTCCTGTTCGTGACACTGCCTTTGATCGAGCGGCGATCATCTCGGAGGACGTCCGCATCTTGACGCTGTTTATCGGTACGCTCAAGCACATGAGAGCGATTGCAGAAAGTTCAGGGAATTGCGTCGACGCTCTGTCCCAAAAAGCGGCGGGGGTCGAGAAACTGACTAATTCATCCAGCCCCGCCAAATACGTTCGAAGTTCTGCGATGGCTTTGTCGTCATCCTCAAACCACGGCTAATTCTCCACGGCTGGTATCCTCATACTTCGCAGCCTTGAGGGATCAAACACTCGGCACGCACGAAAGAAGTTCGCCGCGGGCTGTCGAAACTTGGCCGTTTTTTCGGCCGAAAGATAACGTCGCAGTCTTTCTGAAGATTTCCGGCATGCGATGCTCGTGTTCTCGAGGATACCATCCTTCTCGGCGGAGACTTCAAAACATTCGATCGGAAGGTTCAGCTCATCAATGACCCGATGAGCTCTCATATCGTCCCCTTCGTTCAGTCAGTGGTCAGTGTTTCCATAATGGTCGGAACATACCTCCTCAGCTCCGACAGATGAGACTTCATTTCGGCAGATTGGCAAAGGAAGATCAGCTGGGGTGCAGTACTGCCCGCGCTGATTCCCTGGTCTCGTTTGAAGAACTCCCAGATGATCGGCGTGATGCATCGCCGCTTGGGACCAAGTATTCCATCTGGTCACCACAGGCACAGGGGGAGTCGTCCCGGCTTGTCGTGATTTCGCGAAAATTGCTTGAAACGCGCTTTACGCGCCGGACAAGCCGTGGACGATTTCTTAACGATTTGGACCAGCTTGCTCATTCCTTTGAAGCTAGATATCCACACCTCGTTTACAAGATTCAAGGTGTGAGCGCGGCATTTTACGTGAACGCCGTTCATTAAGATTGCTTTCAGAGATTTGTGCCAAGCTTTGTACTTATAAGTGGCATTATCCGTGAGGAAAGCACTGATCTTCGAATAGGGTATCTCGTTCTTTTGTAAGACTCAGAGTACGGCTTCACTAACAGTCTTGAAGTTTGTACATTCTAAGATCTCGCATTCCAGAAGGACCGCTGTTAGCGTGACTTCTCCCTCCTTACAACAGGGTATTGCGAGCACGTTTAGTATGTACCGACCCTCAGCATCGGTCGCGAAAGATTTCCTTCCGTCTAAGAAACTCCGTATACTCTCCTCATGGGCTCTGTGAGCTTTCGGCAAATAATTTTGTCTCTGCTTGTTGGCCGACGGGAGGCTGCCGATCATCTCGATGTTACATTGGGGAAACCTCCTCAAAACGGCATTCTCGACAGTATGCAGAGGAATGTTCGCACTGGCGAACGCCTCGACCAGGCTCACGAGGGTAGATTGTCTTTCCAATTGCTCATCCGAAACTCGCCCGAAGGATTCAGTCAGAGCGACCTGCAGTTTCACCTTCTTTGAATCGACACTTTTCGGACATTCGACCTTCCGTTTGTGAGCAGTACTTTGAAAATGCTTCGAGCAGCTGTGCTTCCGGCTGCCCTCTACGGGCACGTTGCATGAGCTACAGAACAGGACATCTTCGGTTGCGTGGAAGGTCCCGCGTTCGAGCTGTTTCGCTCGTTTTTCCGCAGTGATTAAGGTAGAAGTCTTCAGCGGTTCCGACGAGTCGATCATGTCCGACACTTGCTAACAGCTGGGACGACTGCCGGCTCGTTGACAGCGCGGCATGCACGTGCGAATCGAATGGGCACTCGGGGGATAGCGTGCGGCTCGGGCGGTATGCCACGATCGAGCGCGACATGTCGATTCTCTCTGGGAAGTTGTCTTGCTCGACGTCTCTCGAACGAACGTTCTCCCGCAGAATTGGTATATCCTTGAAAAAACAAAGGTGACAAAACAAAGCGAAATTGATTTTTGATGGCGAAGGGAGAAAATTCGCGGCATCCCGGGAGAAGGCGCGAAAATCGCGGTATTCGTCGCGACCGCGAATTCCACGACGGAAGTCGAGCCATAATGATGAGCCAGCCAGTTATCCAGATTCACCGTTAGCAGAGAAAAACACGTCATCAGCCGAAATGTCCACTCTCGCAATTCGAATGGGAAGACCGCTCTGATCGCTTTCCAGCGGGCGCCGGAGAAGGGCCTTGCAGATTTAATACCCCGCCGAGCTCGTCTGTTGTTCACGGGCTCAGTCAATCCCGGATTCATGCTGTCCCCGTCATATTCCGGCAGATCTGAACAGTTTTCAATTCCCGACTCGGTAGCCCCTCATCAGGACCATTCCATCAAACTGCAGATTGAGCGTTGTTCGCGAGCGCAGAGCAGAGGGCCGGGTTTGGGACTGGAACTTCGCTCAGCAAAGTTCTCATCGAGCTTCTTCTTCATACCCAGTTTTTCATGGGGGAGCTCAGTACCGACCGAGGACCGAACTCCCTTTTCGCTATCGGCGACAGCGAAATTTCGCGAAGAACACCGCGCTTGAACTCGCCGACGTGTTTGAATCAAGTGACGTCACAAACGGATGGGTTTTGGGGAGACACTCCGAATGCGGCACGCGACGAATTCAAAACATCAATGGGGCGAAATTCGTGCGGATCTCCTCCTCGCCTCCGAACTCTGGAAGTACGGTTCCAGAGGATCGTCACTCTGCGCAATCCCGACAGGGTCTGAAAAATCAGAGTGGAGAGTGCCATAATGTTGGTACGTAGGCCTTCACTGACGCAGATATACTAAATCCCATGAGTCCTTTTGAATGAGCGTTACGGTGCCGCATTTGTGAGGTAGCAAAAGAGAGGAGCAATGGGAAAAGCGGACGATTTCTCGTTTGGATTCGCTCCCACAAGGTTTCGGGTGGACGCAAAACTCGCCCTCTACGTCCGAATAGACTTATGGAATCGGTTCTTGTTGTTGTTCAAGTCTACCTTGTTGGCTCGGCCGAACTAAATGCTGCTATTCCCCCACACGCCGAGGAAGCCGAGACCAATCGTAACAGAGAGCCTAAAAGGAAAACGTTGTCTGCCCTTTTTCGTGCTCTTTCTCCAGGGAAAATTCCTACGTATTACCTGGACTCCTCCACTCAATGCTGCCAAGTGTGTCGACATTTATTGCTCCCCTAACCCAGTCCTCGGTCCGCGAGCGAATGAGCGAGTAAGAGAGCAAGCCAAGCAGCCTGCGTGCAAGGCAAGCCCGCGGCTAAAAAGAGACAGCCTCGGACACCGAACTTTCGTATCCGGTGCTGCTATCGATGAATGACGAGTACATACCATCGGAGAGTTGACTGCTCACTCAGGTCTGGTCCGGCCGGAACCGTGGTGGATGGAGTAGGTGGCTTTATTGGTCAACGGGCCCAGAACGGATCAGTGCCTGTTTCCAAATAGCAACACGTTCCCAAGAGTTCTTCGCCCAGGATGCAGACATGATGAGCCGGCATGAGCAATTCAATAACGTCCTGGGTTGTTTCCTGCAAAATTTCGTCAGAGCCTCGCTTCTGTTCTCCGGAGAATAAATGATCCAATCACCCGAATTCGGGAATCATTGGCTCAAATTTTAGGTGAGATTCTTTCACGAGTCAAGGTTTCGGGTCCTGCTCCCTCGCAGGACTTTTGAAGATGGGCGAGAAAATGGTTCGCCTTCACGCAGGTTTCGAGAGTTTGCGAAAAGTTGATCTTCTAGAAGACGAAGTTTCCACATAGGGTATTTCGTCTTCCCTCGGGAGCTCTTCAAGGTCATCAACCGTTGGAATTATTTATGACTCGCTCTCTGCTTAGCTCAGGAACTTGAGCAATAAATTCTCACGCATGAGACCTACTCTCTCCCGATAGCTAGCCAGATAGCGGGGGGCATATTCCCAGCTACGGACAAGCTGATTCGAAGGAGACACAACCGACGTGAGCTCCCTAGAACTCGACGGCAATTTCACCGTGTCGATCACTCTTATTTCGAGCAGAGAATACCATCTATTTTCAGTCTGCAGTTTGTCAGGAAGGTTCATGGTGGAGGATCGTGATGAATGAAAAAATAAAGGCAGGGGCTCTCTGAGCACGGCGAACTCGAATGTCATCATTCACGTGGTCGCTTTCAATTTGGAGAAGATATTCTCATCTACGAGCGAAATCGATCTAGGAACGAAATCCTCGGGTATGCGTACAGATTTCGAAATCTGATCCCGGTACGAGCGAGAATATGCAAACATCCGAACTCCTTCCCTGATCGCATTCAGTCCCGATTGTATCGCACACGCAGCGTCGATCCATCGATCGATAAGAGAAGGAAGTGTCAGTGATTGCGAGCGGCGGAACTTATTCGCGGTGCAACGCCGCCGAAAAGATGGCAACTTATGCACGATTTCGGAAGCAAACGAGATCTGTGTTCTGATTGCGGGAGTAAACACGGACGTATCATTGATGCCAGTGCTTGTTGGGTATGAATTCCAAGCAAACAACCGGTGCGGTCGGTCTGGTTCGCCCGAGAATCACTGCTACCAAGGAGCGTGGCAGAGCAGAAATTTTCCACGCATCGAAATATTTCGCGTGCCGACGGCCTTGTCATGACACTCTAGCGTGTTTTGTACACACTCGGCGTGAGAATTCCCCGCAAGCCCTCGGATCTCATCGCTCTCGCAGCAGTGCTTCCAGCCTCCATTTTCTCCGCGCTTGCGAGGCGAATTGACCTAGAGCACGATATCATTCGAGATCGATTTTCCGGGCGATTCGGGACGCTCCGGATAATAGCGAACGGTGACAATGGGAAACGGCGATAGCGCCGACGGGTTCCCCAACGTTCATTCGGTGCAATTTGAACTTATCTCGAGCCTGATAATAGGCCACACTGAGACTGAAGCATTGTTCATTCCGCGCATGAATCGTTCGGAGGCGAGGAACCGTTTATTATTATCTCCATCATGAATTATTGAGTGGATGAGAAAAGCCATCCGGAGGCTCCGGTGCATGCTCAACACGTCGTGTGCCCAGACATTGGTCGCGCGGCTCCGGCCCCCTATGGTTCAGCTCCTCCGGACCTTTTCTCAATGCTACCCCTCCCCCCCACCTCCGCCAAGCTTTCTTTCGTTCCGTCCACTATTCCGCTGCCGACCTATTACAGCGCGAACGTTAGTCAAAGAGGGATCCCCTCTTTCATGTACGGGCACAAGTGAACGAGTGGGACATCCCCAGAGTTCACTTCCCCGTTCACTCCTTTCCCTATCTAGGAGGTCATAGAGCCTCGCGTCGCTCCCGCGACCCCTATAAAAAGAATGAGGCTGATACGCTGATAGAGACCTCCCTTGGGCGAATGAAATGGTCGCAGTTCAGTCTACGAAAGAGACTACGCCGACGACGACGACGCGGCGACGACGGTCGGTGAGGCTTCCCGCTACCGGGTATCCTCAAACGAAGCGAAAGTCGCCACCGTCGTCGACAAAAGTGCGACGGTCACAGCTGGCTTCGCAGGATCCGCCGTCAGAGTCGAATGAGCGACGAAGACGGGCTGGGAAGGGGGGGGAGAGGGGGGCAACAGAGTTCGGCGGGAGGAAAATGAGACCGAGCGAGAACAGTTGCCGTAGACTGGACAGTGGACCTGCAGAACGAGATTGTTAGCGGGAGCAAAAAGACCTCTGCGACAAAATAGACAACTGAGACCACTTTTGTTCCTATTCCCCCTCCTATTATCTCTTTTTGTTTTGCCCCGACCGGTGCTCTGTCTTCCGCTGCTGCGAACACGGCTGAAAAAAGGGTTTTGAGCAGACACATGTGTTCTGTGGTGGACTCCAGGGGGTCAATGGAGGTGTTAAGTCTCGATCAGGGGTCCGACTCTCTCGGAAATGGGTCACGAGTCACGAACATATACCTGTATTGAGGAGACTGTCCCTATTCAGACGGATTGAATGGAATAATGTTCTTTGATCGAAAAAAATCTACATCTGCAAATCGTTGGAACTGAATAAGAAAAAAATACGAAAAAAGACGGGGCCCCATGAGCTAGGCGGGAACCGATGCGATTTCGCTCGCATCCATTGAGCTCGGTGTCTGAACATCAAAGGCCTCGTGAGACTCCTGCGAGAAGCATCAGAGATGTGACTTTGGAAGGGAATCAGTTCGTGTCGTTGCTTATGTGCCGTCACTCTGGCTGTCGCCTGAAAAGCTCAGGAAAAGCCCAAGGGCAACATGCCAGGCGTTCTGAGAGACACGCACAGAACGACGCGTTTTTTAATGCCGGGCGAACGACGCGAATGGAGCTCACGGCGCGAACAGCCTCCGACAGGAACTGCACGAAAATGAAACGGGGGAACGGAAGGAATTTTTCTTTCTGGAGCCGAATCGGCGATAAGACGGCCGGGCAGATAGATGGATAGACAGACAGACCCTCCAACATTTCCTCCAACAAAGAAAGACCGACGGACACAGGGCGCGGTTTCGCAGGGTAAATGATTTATGATCAAGCCCAACAAGTCCATCCGCATTAAAAGAAGGTACCGCGGAAAGTGCGAGGGTTGGATAGCCAGAAGCGAATAGGAAACCAGCGTTCCCGAACCGTTGGACGGACAGGCAGGCGGGCGGGCAGGCCGGCGGACGTTCGGTCGGTCGAGCTGAGAAATAGATAGATAAAGGAAGCAGAAAAAAAAGAGCGTACACCGCGTCGGGACCGAGTCGGATAGATTGCTCACGTTATTCGGCTTG